CTCTCTCTCTCTCTCTCTCTTCTTCTCCTCTCTCTCTCTCTCTGTCTGCTCTCTCTCTCTCTCTCTCTCTCTTCTCTCTCTCTCTCTCTCTCTCTCTCTCTCTCTCTCTTCTCTCTCTTCTCTCTCTCTCTCTCTCTCTCTCTCTCTCTCTTCTCTCTTCTCTCTTTCTCTCCTCCATCCCTCCCTCCCCCTCTCTTCTCCCTCCCTCCCTCCCCCTCTCTCTCCCTCCCTCCCTCCCTCCCTCCCTCCCTCCCTCCCTCCTCCTCTCTCTCCCTTCCTCCCTTCCTCCCTTTCTCCCCCCCTCCCTTCTTTCCATCACATTTCTCAATCAAAATTCTATCATCCACATCACATCATAACGTGTCATAACGTGTCGTCTTCAGGTACTTCGGCAGAAAGGGACCCCAGGGCATCACCTTAGGAGGAGGAGTTCTCAAGCTCTTCCTCAACACCCTGAGAGGCTTCCGGGCCCGAGGCTTTTCGTGCACCGTCGAGGCTTTCGCTGGCAGTAAGTTTGGGTGTAAATAAGGTTTGGCTTTTGGGTTTACTCGAGGGGGGGGGGGGGAATGGCGGACGTGTTGGAGTTGGAATCGTGTGATTTGAGTGAGATTTTGTTATGGGTAAAGATGTGTCTATTTTTTCTTCCTCTCTCTTCTTCTTCTTATTATTATTATTGTTATTATATTTTATTATTATTATTATATTATTATTATTATTATTATTATTATTATTATTATCATTATCATCATCATCATCATCATCATCATCATCATCATCATCATCATCATCATCATCATCATCATCCTTATCATCTTCAGCATCATCATTATAAGCATCATCATCGTCACCACGCCCTCATCATAATCAGCATCATCATCATAATCCTCATCGTCATCCTCATCATAATCATCATTATCATCCACCTCCTCCTCTTTATCATCATCATCCCCATCATCATCATCGAAATTAAACATTTTAATGACTATATACATTATGCAAAGATATGTCCCTAATCACCACTAATTCAACGAAGACACAATATACAAACATCAATTGAACATCCTCCTTTATATAAACAAATAAATCAATTTCTTTTACCAATCTTTTAAAAAATTCCCGATTTGCTTTCCCAGGTACGACCACCACCACCACCACCCCAGCATCTGTGGTAGATATTTGTGGTAAGTTTGTGGTAGTCTTATCCATACCACGGGTGTAGAAAAGGTATGAACGAGACTGGATATCTTCACACAATACAAGAGATGTATTTGACCGGTTTCGATTACGTCTTCATCGGAAATACATCAAAAATTCATGTATTTCTGATGAAGACGTCATCGAAACCGGTCAAATACATCTCTTGTATTGTGAAGATATTCGTTCTCATTCATACCTTTTCTACATTTGTCAACATGGATACGGTTCATACCACGGGTGTCAGAGTCATGGCCAACGAGGGAAATGTGGCCCTCAGAATGGACAAAAGTGGCCAAGGGAGTGAAAATAAGATCTATTAGGTTGTGAAATTATGATCGTGATGTAGGTAGATAATGTTTTATTCATTGTGTTGTCATTAGTGTCACCATTTGAAATATGAAAGTCAAAATTAAAAGATTTTTTTTTTATAATGGAAGAAAATAATGTCATATCCATTTTACTATTGATATCCGTTTGAATAAGTCAAAATTAAAAGAAAAAAAAAAAAATTATAATGGAAGAAAATAATGTCATATCCATTTTACTATTGATATCGCTAATCAACACCTGGTAGGTAAAATAAGCCTTACGTACAGGTAAGATATACAGGTATTTAAAACCTGTGAAGGCTGTTGTATGTGTATTTGGCCTTTAAGACTATTCCTCAGTTTGACATTGTCTTGTCTATAATATTTTCTAATTAGTGTTATATTATACCACTTTTCTCTCTTCTCGAAGAAAATGAACCTTTCATAGAACAAACGTAAGACTGTTAACGAAATATTAACTGAGTAAAATATATATTACAGACCTCACGGAACATCACTGCGGCGTCAGACACAGGAGAAGTACGAATCGCATTGTGGCTGGTCAAAACGCGGGCGTGGGGGCGTGGCCGTGGGTGGGCGGTCTCACCCTAAGGGGAGATAGGGGCGTGTTCTGTGGCGCAACTCTTATCCATCCCGAGTGGGCGCTGACGGCCGCCCACTGTGTTGAGGCGTACGTGAATAGCTAAGCATTCGACAATCTTGATTAAGTGGAAGAAATCTCTTTTTTTTTTATTTATATTTATTATTTTTTAGTCTTGATTGTGGCAGAAATCTCAGTATCCTTTTTTTTTTTTTTTTTTTTTTTTTACACTGTTTACATATTATTATATATATTTATATATTATATATATATATTATTATATATATGCGTGTGTGTGTTGATGTGTTGTTGTGGTATATAATAGAAATATAATATAATATATAATATATAATATATATATATATATATACAAACAGATTACAACAAAAAAATA